GTGGCGGCCACCCAAACCACTGGTGCAGCTATCTAGGGGGATAAAACCAAGCTAGTCCAAGAGCCCTGCTGGGGCGAGAAGTTGGGGAAAACAGGAATAATCTGACTAGTTTCAGCACCCACTCCTTTGCTTCTGCCCCTCCAAACCTCTAGGACGACCAGCTACAATCTCGAGAACCTGCCTCCTCTCCATGAGATTCTCGCTTGGGCTTGAGGTGCAGCCCTGACTTGGATAGTTGCTTGGTGAGGAAACACCAATCAGGAGTGTTAATTGTGCTTTAGGGGATACATGGGACTCCCTGGGGAATCCTCCTTTTCTTGAGAAAAATAAAGTCTAACAGCTTCCAGGGAGAATAAGATTATCCTACCCGGAAATAACAGTTAACAACGGTGACAGCGATACTGGACACAGATGACAATGAACTAATATTTGAAGAAATGAACAAGAAGGGAATTCAAACCCAGAATTTTAGATCCATCCAAACTGTCCTTCAGATGTGCAGGCTAACAAGAATTTTTACAGGCACACAGGGCCTCAGAGGTTTGGTCATTTAAAGTCCCAACAAGTGCTTTGTGGAACTTGACAAGCTGATCCTAAACTTTCATAGGCAAGCAAAAGACTGAGAACAGGTGAGACGCTCTTAACGGTCAAGTTGGGAGGACTCCGGGCCCCTAGCATAGCAAGTAGCACCAAAGCTGCCATCATTAAGTAGTTGCTATTGGCTCAAAGAAGGTAAAACAACAGAACAGAGGAGTGAACCCAGAAACGGACCCGTGCATACGTGAACACCAGACTGACAGCACAGCTGGCACTGCAGAGCTGTGGGGAGATAATGAGTCTGCGTAAGAAAAAGAACTAGCTGCTACTTTATACAAAAATCAGGTGAGTTGTAGGTCTGGGTTTTAATTTATTTTTATATGTTTGAGACAGGGTCTTGTGCTGCCACCCAGGCTAGAGTGCAGTGGCGTGATCACAGCTCACTGAAACCTCTGCCTCCCAGGTTCAAGGGATTCTTATGCCTCAACCTCCTGAGTAGCTGGGATTACAGGCATGCGCCACCATGCCCGGCTAATTTTTGTATTTTTAGTAGAAACAGGTTTCGTCATGTTGGCCAGGCTAGTCTTGAACTCCTTCCTGGCCTCAAGTGATTCATCTGCCTAGGCCTCCCAAAGTGCTGGGATTACAGGTGTGAGCAGGTCTGAGTTTTAAAAGGCAAACAACCTTTAAAAGGATATGATTATAGGCCGGGCGCAGTGGCTCAAGCCTGTAATCCCAGCACTTTGGGAGGCCGAGACGGGCGGATCACGAGGTCAGGAGATCGAGACCATCCTGGCTAACATGGTGAAACCCTGTCTCTACTAAAAATACAAAAAAAAAAAACTAGCCGGGCGAGGTGGTGGGTGCCTGTAGTCCCAGCTACTCAGGAGGCTGAGGCAGGAGAATGGTGTGAACCCGGGAGGCGGAGCTTGCAGTGAGCTGAGATCCCGCCACTGTACTCCAGCCTGGGCGACAGAGCGAGACTCCGTCTCAAAAAAAAAAAAAAAAAAAAAAGGATATGATTACATATATAGAAAACCCCAAAGAATGGATGACAAGAATAGGAGAGTTTGGCAAGATGGTTGGCTATAAGGTCAATATGCAAAGGTCAAATAAATATCTATACTCCAGTAATAAATAATCAGGAAAAGTAATTTTTTAAAGTGTATACTAGTATCAAACTATATAATAGTATCAAACTATAAAATATCTAGGAATAAATCTGAATTCCATATAAAACTTTACTGAAAGATATTGAGTAAGTCATAATGTCATATATGGAGAGATATCCCATGTCCATGGATACAGACTTATTATCCTAAAGATGTCAGTTTTCACAAAAATGGTCAATGGATTCAGTGCACACTCAGTCATTATCTCAAAGGCCTTTTCCACTGAGTGTGGCTGGAAGATTTGAAGGTGTACATGTGGAAGAAAAAAGGCCAAGGGTAGCGATGATACTTCTGAAGATGAAGAGTAAAGAACAGGAATTTTCCCAGTCAGTTCCAGAACTTACAAAGTTAGAGTGAACACAGGGCAGTGTTGGCACAGAAGTATCAAACTGACAGAGCCAGAATTCTACTTTTATATGTGGAATTTTGATACTGACAGTGGGGGAAAAAGGGACGTTTTTAGCATGAAGAGATGAAAAATCCAGTTTACCCATATGCATAAAAAAATGAAATTGCAGCCCAGTTTCTCTCACACACACAGTCTACTCAGATAGATTAATGACTTACATGTCAAAAGCAAAACTTTCAATCTTTGAGAAAAAAATATACATGAATAACCTTCTAACTTTGGTGTGGGGAAGGATACTTTTTAAAGAAGGCCCCCAAGTTGTTAACCACTAATGCTTGATAAATTTGATTATGAACTTTTCTCTATTAAGAAATACCACCAGGCCGGGCGTGGTGGCTCAAGCCTGTAATCCCAGCACTTTGGGAGGCCGAGACGGGTGGATCACAAGGTCAGGAGATCGAGACCATCCTGGCTAACATGGTGAAATCCCGTCTCTACTAAAAAAAAAATACAAAAAACTAGCCGGGCGAGGTGGTGGGCGCCTGTAGTCCCAGCTACTCGGGAGGCTGAGGCAGGAGAATGGCGTAAACCCGGGAGGCGGAGCTTGCAGTGAGCTGAGATCCGGCCACTGCACCCCAGCCTGGGCGACAGAGCAAGACTCCGTCTCAAAAAAAAAAAAAAAAAAAAAAGAAATACCACCAAGAATAGGGAAGGACAAGCCAGAGGCTGGAAGAAGATAACTGCAGAACACTAGAGCTGACAAAGGATCAAAACATGTAAGAATTTTGACAGGTGAATAAGAAGAGTACAAATAACCCAACAAAAAGTCAAAAGGTGTGATCAGGCATTTCACAGAAGCAGACACCTTTGGTGGATGCCCAGGAAGACAGGCTCAGTCACATCAGTGCTCAGGAGGTGCAAACCCAGATCCCAAGGGTTGCATCACACCCGTTCTGCCTGCAGGATCTGCAAACCTGGCAAAACCTAGTTCTAGAGAGACTGGATTCACTGCTTATCTTCATCACTGCTGGAGGGAGAGCAGACTGCTATCGCCTCTTAGAAAATGACTTAGTGTTCTCGTGTAATTCGGGCGTTCACACATCCTCATCCTAGATCCAGCACTTCCACTCTCACACACGTACTGGAAAACCTGTACAGGAACATCCACTGCAGCACCGCTCATACCAAACACAACCTACGTGTTCCCTGCACAGAGAGGGGAGAAAAGCCGGTCAATTCACTCAGTGGACTCTGTGCTCAACAGTGGGTGTGAACAAGCCACAGCCGCCCAGACCGCATGGGCCAACCTCCATCCGAGAATGCGGAGTGAAAACACAGGTCTAACGATCACACACAGCAAGATAATTATCTCGCAAAGAAAACTCACTTATTGTTCTGCCACACATATATGTCCGAAAAAATATGTTTCCTCACCTTCCACTCTGAAGAAAACAAAGGAATTCTAAGCACCAAGTTCAGGATCATGGTTAACCGAGGGGAGAGAACAGGGAGTATGACGGCTAAACAGATAGAAGGTGTTGTTCACATTCAAGTGTATAGGTCGGGTTCTTGATTTAAAGTCATTATTCAAAAACTAATTAAATGAAAGGTAGCTAGTGTGAGAGTGCAACATGAATCAAAGATCATGACTAGCTTTGCACATCGAGGGGCCGTTAAAGGTTCGACTTTTCATGTTATCACTTAAAATCATTTTGCACCCACCAGAGCATGAGCATCTCATGCCGGCAAACACATGAGTGCAGTGACCTCGGGGCCAGCCTGGGGGTCATCTTGAATCTCTCCTGCCAAAGAGACCCAGGGGAGTAACACGTGCCCCTCTAAGTTCTGAGTTCTAGGAGATGAACACCTGGTATTTAAAGGGTGGGACACAATGCGAACCATCTGATGAAAGGTTCGTTTTAGTTCCCTTAAAGGTCCACACCTTAATTAAGAGAATCCTTCACTCACTGCGTCGGATGCACAAGCCAGTCCTCCTGGTGCTCACAGGGGCTAGCAGCGAGTCCGGACCTCATATGGTGAGGGGGGAATGTGAACTTAGCGTTCAGCGAAACTGCCACTTGCAAACGCACCCTCTGGCACTGCAGGTGCCCTTGATGTGTACAGATGTCCTTGAGAAGCTGAGGGCAGGGCCTTGCTGGTGAGACCATGCTCAGTGGCTCACACCTTTACCAAGTACTAGGCCTTCTTTGGAGCTGGGTTGAGGGGTGATCCCAATCTCAGTCTGTGGTGTGACTCAGGGGAGGACAGGTCACCGGGTGCTAGGAGAGCTGTCCATAGAGGACACAGCCCCCAAGGATTAAAACCCAGAGAAAGGCAGAGTCTGACTCAGGCTGAGGAACACACATGCATTAGTGCTGCCTAAAGGGGAGCTGCCTCGTGAGCTTCCGGGAACTCTTACTGCAGGTGCTGAGCAGATGCTCAGCGCCCCGCAGGGACGTGCTGGCCTCAATTCTCACGAGGCAGAGCCCCGGACTAGGAGACAGTTCAGGTCCTGCATAACCTGAGTGTCCACAGGGCCCAGCTGGTCCTCGAGCTGGGGCTCGCCCAGTGGCTGCTCCCTTCCCCTCCTGACTCCACCTGCTCCTCTTCGGAGAAGCGAGGGGTGTGGGGCCCAGAGGCAGGGGCTGGGGTGGGCTCTGTTGCATGTGGAGACGAAGGAGGGGAGGGGAGGGGAGACAGCGGCAAAGCCAGTCTCTCTAGCTCAGACCCTGGGTGGTTTGGGTGGGTCTTGCCCCCTGGCCTGTTCCCGTCGATGGGGTCCCACTGCTTGGGTGGTAGCTTCCCCCCATCTTCCCACGCTAGGGTGCCTGGTGCTCAGCCTCCCCTTAGGTTCCTCACTGTGGATGGTCCCTCCTGCCTGCAGCCTCTAAGGCCCCTGAGAGCAGTCAGTCCCAAAGTCCCCACCAGCACTGCCAACTTACTCCCGAGGTCCTTGTTGCCGTGTTCAGGGAGCTGGAGGGCCAGGCTGACCTGCTTGGGGGCTTCCTCGGTGTGCTCGAGCTGCGCTGAGGCTGTGGGTTCTAGGAGAAGCCAGGCGGTGACCACATGGTGCAGCTGCTTTGCACCCGGATGCTCCTGGGGCCACCCTTTTGACCCGGATGGTCCTGGGGCCACCCTTTTGAGTGCTTCTATACCTTAGGGAGCACGGATGTCCCTGGTGGGGACCAGGCTCCCTGCATGGCCCGGTGCCTGTCAGCCCCAGCACTGTCTCCCCTGAAGGGCTGGCCCTTGCGCTCCTGCTGACCCTCTGGAGGGGCTGGGCTTTCCACTTGCAGGGCCCCTCAGAGCTGCTTCAGGGGCAGCCAGCAGTGAGCATGCCGAGAGGCCCCATCCTCATGGCTGATGCGGTTGCTTTCTTCTTAGGGTCAAATTCTGCATTCCTCTCCTTCCACCCCCTGCTTCTTGGAGGGCTACGGCACCCCCTGCTCTCCCTGATCTGCCCTCAGCCTCTGCTGACCTTCCCCATGCCCTTGCCCCCAATTGCATCACTTCTATGCAGGGTTCTCAACCGCACCCTTGGGCATTTGATATCTGCTTCCATACCTGCAAGTACAACGGGCCCCTGCTCTGTACTCCAGATCTCACCTGCCCACCACTGGGCGTCCCGGGCAGCTGCCTGCCCTCTCCCCAGACACCTTGCCAGGGCTCTCTCCCCCGCTCGCCATGCGGCAGTGACCCCAGGGCTCTGGTCCCTCCTTGCCAGTCTCCCTGCTGCGTCCCCTCCCTCCCCTGCCTGGCGAGTTTTTGTTCAGAACGTGTTCATTAAACTGGTGACTCGGCTCTGCTGGGGGATTCCAGGAGGATGAGCACCTGGCCTTCCAGGTGAGAGGCAAGGGCCAGAGAGGTGCCCTCTAGGGCAGGGTGGTGCCTGCCTCACTCCTGCCAGCATATCTCAGGGCTTCTGTGTCAGAATCGCAGGCAGATTCCCGGAGCAGCCCTCGCCCGGTAAAGCGGGTGGGAAGGGGCCAAGGCACCTGGGCCCCCCATCGGCCTTGCTGCCGCCGGGAAGATCTTGCCAGGACAGTGGCGGAGGATTTGCTGGACCACACTCCGAGTGGCAGGTTAGACCCTCATGGCCTCCTGCCCATGGCTTACTAAAACAAAGCTCAGAGCCCTACTTTGGCAAACAAAGCTGCTGTAACGTCTCAGACCTGCTTCTAAAATGTTTATCTTCTCTCGCGTGCCCTGCCAGCAGCCTGTGCCTCCAGCCCACACACTGACGTGAGGCCCTCACGAGCCGCCCCTGCCGCCATGGAGATGCATGCGTCCCTGGCTGGTGACTGCGCTGGGCAGTGGGGGCGGGCTCATCATGTAGGGGGCAGGGGCTGGTGAGAGTGGCAGCGAGGATGAGGGTTGGCCACTGAGGTGGGTGGGGAGGCCCCGGCACTCACGTGATCTCACGGTGGCTGCTTTGCTGGGTGAGCTGCCGAACCTGGCGCTCACTCTTCCTCTGCCGTCCACAAGCTCCGAGAACCTGCGGAGAGGGTGGAAGGGTCACCACTGTCCGAGCGCTGCCTCGGGCGATGGGGCCGACAGGTGGGGCATGTACCTGGGGGGCTGGGTGGGGGTCTCGGGGGCGCTGTGGTCATTCAGCAGGCGCAGCTCCGGCAGGCGCGCCGGGGGCGGTCTGTTCCTGAGCACCCGAGGGTGGTGTCCTCCCTGGTGCCAGCGTCTGTCAGCGCCATCCCTGGGGGCTGCAGGGCAGGCAGGAGGAAGGGGCTGGTCTGGGGCTGCCCTCTGCTCCTGTCCCTGCCCCTGTGGCATGGGAGGTGCCCCTCACACTCAGCTGTGCTTGGAGAAGGGAAGGGGGGTGTGTGAGTGAGCTGTGGTCATTCAAAGTGCTTGCGGCTTCCCCAGATGCCCTGGGTTCCCTTCCAGCCCACCCGCCACATCGCTTCTGAGGAGAAGCCACCCACAGCCACGACAAAGGCATGCACTGGCCTGGGAGTCGTGAGGTAGGGGCTGAGTGTAGGCCCCTGCCCCTGTCACTCAAAAGGGGCTGGGCCTTCCAGCTAGGACTCAGGTCCCAGGCTGCCCTGGAGACACACTTGTTCTCCCCAGTTGGCCTCCAGATGGGACACTTCAGCTGGGAGTCCCCACCCCAGCATGTGCCCTGAGAGTGAGGGCGCAACCTGTCACCCTAACAGTGTCCTTCAGCCTCCTAGGCTGGGTCCTCCTTCCCTGTGAGCCCCCATTCCCTCTCACACTGAGGCCAGCTCACGGAGGTCCCAGCCTGCCCCTTCCACCTGGCTGGTGGGCTTGGCCCCAAGCTGGTGGGGGTGGCAGGATTGGGTCTGAGAACTCGCCAAGCTCATGTACTTCGTGTCCCCAGCACAGCCTCACGGGTTGGGGAGGAGCCTGGGGTCGGAGCCCCCTTTTCCCTGGGGAGCCGCCCCCTGCTCTGCTCTGTCCGACCGTGGCTACTCCTCCCTGCTTGTTTCCGTCTCTCTCTTCTCTCTCTGTTCTGCTCCTGCATTTTCCCACAGCTCCTTCTGTGAACTTGGAAGACCTAAGTGGGGCATTCAGGACCCTGGTGGAGACTGGAAGGGCCACCTCTGCACTTGGGAGCAGACCTGAGCCCTTCAGAGCCTCTGTCCCCACTCCGAGCGGCTGTGCCTCTGCGCCCCAGCATTCCTGCTCCTTGCAGGCCCCTGCCCGTGGCCTCCTGGCCCTTTGTGTCCAGCGGCCCCTCATGGGTCAGGCCTGGGCTGCACGGCCACTTCCGGGGGCGTCCTCCTCGCTGCCACCCTCGGCACCCGTTTTCAGGTGATGCTCAGCCTGTCTGGGATCCGCGGGGGGGGGGGGGGGGGGTCCGGCACAGGCTGAGGCTCCACGTGCTTGTTATTCCAGTTGTTGGTGCCACGCGCCCATGAGTCCTTCCTTTCCTCGTGGGTTTGAAAAGCCTCGCCTTTCATACACAGACTCCCCCCCGCTAACACGGTCCTGTTTCTAGGCTGTCCGCCTGGCATCCCAGGCCCCTGCAGGGCCAGGTCAGTCCTGAACAGGGTGGAGGGCTGGCAAACACTGCCCCACCCACCCGCAGGGCCTGCGGCACTCACAGGTGATGATGTAGAGGTGGGCGGGCTCGCTGTGCAGTGGCCCGAGCTCCGTGCCCTGCACGGCCGTCACGGAGAGCTGGTACCGCCGTCCCGGCAGCAGGTCGCGCACTGTGTAGGACGCCAGCTTCCCATTGGGGACGTAGCGGCTCTTGGTGCTCTGGCTGGTGGTCACATTGATGACATAAGCCTCCAGCAAGCTGCCTGGAGTCGGGGCATCCCAGACCACGTGGGCAGAGGTGGCCGTGACTCGGGCGGCCGTCAGGTTTGCTGGAGGCAGGGGCCCTGGACGAGGCAGGAGCAGGGAGAGGTGAGGGGGTGCCCACAGGGTCTTCTGGTGAGAACACAGTTTGAGAACCTGACAGGGGCTGCCGCAGCCTTGCTGGAAGCCAGGTTCTTTATTATGGAGAACGGCACAGCACCGAGGCGGGGTGTGGGCTAGCACGCACGGCAGCATCTCCCAACCAAGAGGCCTGCAGGCCCCCGATGCCACCCTCCCCTCGGGTTAGGATTCACCCTGTGAAGCCCCCAGGCCCTGTCCCATCAGCTGGCGCCCTCCCTGCAGCACTGTCGGTTCCGCTGAGCCTGGCTGTGCAGAGCCCTGGGCAGACTCCCCTACCCCACCAGCCTTTCCTGTGCCTTCCCAGGCGGGCAGCATCCGAGTGCACAGGTGGGCAGGGGCCTGCTCAAGCCTCTGTTCCTCACGGAGGGAGCTGCAGCCTCCCCTCTGCCCGGTTCACCGTCCCTCCCCTGTGTGCTGTCTGTCTGTGCTCTCGCCCCTCCCATGTACTGGGGAGGGGGTGTGGGCCTAGTGACACCAGGAGCTTAGCTAGAGGGGGCTGGTTGCAAGGTGCAAGGGCCCTGGACAGCGTGGGTATCCCTGGCCCAGTGAGTTCCTCTGACCCTCTGGTCAGTGCCCAGTAGGAACTTCATGCTGAGGAGCTACCAAGAGCCTTTAGAGATGGAGACTGCCCTGGAGAGCTGTCCCAGCACAAGGGCCCAGCGCAGCTCAATGGCCCCAGCAGAAGAGACGTCCGGGAGGCCAGGGCTGGGTTTCTGGTGTTGGGACACTTTGGAGAGGACTAGGGGAGGCTGGAAGGAAGCCAGAGCTTCTAGAAGACGGCCTTTCGTGTGCCAGGGGCCGCGCCGCTCTACTCACGGGTCCACACGTGTGTTGGCGCGGTGGCCAGGCTCTCCGTGGGGTGCTCCTCTCCCCTGAGCCCACTGAGGGTGGTCAGCTGGATGGTGTACCTCCTCCCAGGCAGCAGAGCCCTGTGGGCAGGAGGTGACGAAGAGAGAACAAGGACATCTGGGACCTGTGTGTGACTCAGCTGCCAGACCGCAGCTCCCCCAGTCAGGAGGTGACCGGCGGGAGGTCGTCCTGCTGCTGGTGGCCCAGGCAACCTCCAGGAGGGGCACACTCACAGCCCTCAGAGCCGTGTGCTCCTAGGATGGGAAGCCGGCCCATACACAGTCTGGGAAGCGGCGGAGGATCGGGTGCACCTGGGGCCACTACAGTATTGTCAGAGGGCCGGTGTTCAGATGGGACAGGCCAGAGAAGGGGGAAGTGGTCGCTGTGCGGGAACGGGGGACAGGCAGGCCCGATGCCCCTCGGTGCAGGTGAGTTGATGTAAATTCTCAGGAAACCACAGGGCAACGTGAGGCCAATGCTGCCCCAGCCCCAGGAAGCTGCTGGCTGGCATCTTCCTTCCCACTCGCTCTCCGGTCTTTCCCGGCACCCCTGCCTGTGCTGAGCACGAATCGGAAGCTTTCTCTCTGGTTGGTGCCCAAATCACAGGGGTCCACTGTGGGACTCCTGGGAGAGCTCGGGGCTGTTACTATCTCCCCTCGCTGGCCGCTGCTCTCTGAGGGGCCAAGTCACTCTCATGATCTGTGTGGAAGGCGTGCTCCCGGGTTTCCAGAGCTTTTCCTGCTCTTTATGGACACTTTGAAACACTACGAAGGTGTATCCTCTCTTGGCAGCTCTGATGAGGTGAGGCAGGAGTGAGGCCTCCAGGGTCAGAGGCTGGCTCACCCGAGAGACCTTTGCCTCCACCCGGGTGAGGAGCAGCAGGTGCACAGTCCACACACGGAGAATGTGCCCGAGACCTGGGCCCCGTGTCCCCGAGCCCCCACCCCTGCCCTCGCCCCAGCCCCATGCTCCGGGTGCCCCCTCTCACCCAAAGGTGAACCTGTCCACACTCCTCTCCACATCAGTGGCCTGGTCTCTGAGGGCCTCAGGGTGGCGGATGGACACGCGGACCCCACTGACGGTGGCATGGTGGATCCTGTGCAGGGCCCACTGCACCGAGATGGTGCTGGCTGTCACATTGGTGACCTCGAAGCCTTCCACAGGGCGGGGTCCTAGGGGGAATGGGCTACTTAGCAGGTGCTGGCCCCTCCTTGCTCCTGGGGGAGGGCAGGGGCTCAAGATGAGACCAGGCTTGGGAGGGTGCTGGGGGCCACAGAGAGATCCTGGAGAGGGTGTCCCATCAGCTACTCAGGGGACTCGGGCTGAGTGGGACGCCCAGGCCCTGGCCTCCAGGGCTGATGGCTGTGGAGCCCGCTGTGGGCCATCCCGCTTTACCAGAGGCAGGGGTCTTAACCTCCATTTAGATGTGGCGGTGACATGGCGGGGGATGGGCCGGAGTCCCTCTGGACATGAGTGACCCGGACCTCCCCTCTTTTCTGCGCCAGTCGACTATTTTGGTCTGACAGCACACATCTGGGCCCGGTCTGGGTGACGCCATCCGAGGAGGATGGACGCACAGAGCTCCCAGCGACTGCAGGGCAGGGGCCACTTCCCGCCCGGCCAGTCTCCTCCAAAGCTCCAGTGCCACTGCTGATGCGCCAGGCAGAGCCCAGAGGGCAGCGCGTGGCTCCCGGCAACTCAGCACCCCAGTCTGTGAACAGTGGTCCCTTCCACCCACCACTGGCTGGAGCCCCCACTCTGCAGCAGGCACGGTGGGCTCCGCCTTCGCTCCAGATACCTTCCCAGGGCAGACCTCACATGGGGCAGCCTCGCAGGTGCTTCTTCCTAAAACAGCCCAGGCGAGCCTCCCCTACTCAGTCCCTGGAAGCTCCTCTTGACACCGCTCGGTGCCACCCGCACGTGCATCCAGGCTCCCCACTGGCTGAGGTGTGCTCTGTGTCGTTGCTGTGTTGGGAATTCCAGCTCCTTGGTGGTCACCTCCTGCAGGACAGGCCCCTGTGGGCCCCTGGGTGGGCTCGAGCTGCCCTGGATGCCTCCGCCTGTCCCTCAATGCCCTTGGCATTGGCCCCAAGCTGGGGCCCAGGTGTGGCCAGGAGGCCTTCCTCCTGTGACAGCCGCCGAGCTCCTCTCTGCCTTCCCACCACGCTACCCGTAGGTTTCACTGAACTCACATGGCCACCCCGCGGGGCCCTGCCAGGTGCTCAGGCCTCAATGAATTCCCGGCCACCCACCCACCCATCACGCCACTTTGCAGCAGTCCGTGCTCCGAGCACCTTTTCCTCTTTCCTCGAGCCTCTAGCACCCCTTCCCCATTCTTGTTCCTGTGTCTGAAAGCCACAGGTGTGCTGGGTGAGAGTCCCATGGCCCCATGGCCCTGCACCCCACCTTGGTTCCTGCCCAGCCTGTACCAAGATCCCCCGTGCTCTAGCTGATGCGGCTGGGCTCAGTGGAGGGCCAGCCTCTGCTTTCTACCAGCCCTGCCCCTGTCTGTCCACGGCCGTGTTCTGGGGCTCCCTTCTCCTCCCGGAATCCCTCCCAGCAGCACACAAGCCAGCTAAGCCCTGACGCCTTCCCTAGCGCGCTCAGCATCTCCTGCTCCTTGACGTGGCAACAACCCCCGAGGCTGTGCACAACCGGGGCCTCCCCTGCTCTCTTGGCGGCTCAGGCTCTCAGGGGGCTCTTCCCTAGGACTCTTCAGGGGTCACATCTGGTCACAGCTTTCGGTGCCAGCTCCAGGTGGAGGCTCTGGGTCTGTCCTTCCATCTAGGGCCTGCCCCATGGCTCTTCCCGATTAGCCACGGATACCTCTTCTTAGCACATCCCAGTGCTACATATCCCTGTGAGCAGGTGTCCCTCAAACTCTCCCCAGGCCTTCAGAGCACCCCAGAGTCCCAGCCCATCCAAGCCTGCCCCCGCGGCCCCTGTCTCCCGCACTGGCTTCTTCCAGGGACCTTTTTGGGAAGGCCCCATTCCTCCCCAGTCCCACTTCCTAGTGCCACGCCTGGGGGTTGTGCTGCTCCCACTCTTGGCTCTATTCTATGCGCCCCAATCCCACGCTCGTATCTTGTGGACCCAAGGCCACTCCCGAACAGCTCTGTCTCCCCAGTGCTCTGTCTGCAGCAGGGCGGTGCCTCCAACCGCCAGCTCGGCTGTCTTGCTGCTGGGAGAACTAGGGAGGTGGACGGCACGACAGCCGCCCTGCAGGTGCCTGGGGCCAGCGCTGCCCTTGAGGGGCAGGGGCTGGGCGGGGACGGCCAGGCTTGGGGATACTCACGCGTGCGGGCCAGCAGCACGGCAGGCCTGCTGATGTCATTCTTGTTGTTAGTGTTGCGCTTGACTGAGAAGACGGAGATGTTGTAAGCCCTGCCGGCCACCAGGGCCCGGAGCTGGTGCGAGGAGCGGGTCCTGTCCACAAAGTCCGTGCGGCGGTAGGAGCCATCGGAGGAGACGTAGGTGACCGCGTAGCCATCAAGCATCTGCCTCGCGGCTGGGCCGTCGGGCGGGTTCCAGGAGATGGAGACTCCACTCTCCTCTACTCTCTCCATCTTGAGGGCCGTCGGTGGGAAGAGCTCTTCAGGGTTTGGGTCAAAACAAGGGGAGGGGACTGGTCAGCTGTCAACCGTGCACGCCTGGCTCCCATCGGCGGCTCAGCCGGGTCCGGCTCTTGGGCCTAACACAGCCATCGCTGGCAGAGTCCTTCTTTGTCCCCAGCCACGTACCTCCAGGAGGGTCACACTTTTGCATGTGTGACAGTGTTTCAAGCCCACCGGGGGATTTTATCCCCTCCCTGTTCCTCAGGGAAGGGGCCTGGGCAAGCAGCGGCCAGATGCTCTGCCCTTGGGGACCGTTGGGCCCTCTGGGGTGAGGGGACCCCCTCATGGCTCCCTCACTAGAGGCACCCTCGCCACCCACCTTTGGCACAGTCCTTGCCCGTGTAGCCCACTTTGCAGGTGCAGCTGTGGGAGCCGTTGCTGGCCAGGCAGTAGCCACGGCCCCCACAGGGGCTGGAGAAGCAGGGGTCACTCGCTGAGGGGAGAAAAAGCAGCAGTGTGTGTTGGGGTATGGCCAGGGGCCCCCGCTCCAGCTGCGCCCTTGTTCCTGGGGCACTGGGTCCCTCCTGTGTGGGTGTGGAGGGGAGGGGGGCACAGGACAGCTACTGCCTCCCTTTGGTTCTGTCACCTCCACTGCCCTGTGGGGCCCAACCCAGCAGCCCCTCCACCCTCCACAGCTGAGTGCTCAGACCTCCCTCAGCCAGTCCGGCTGACGGGATGAGACACTGGACCAGGACAGGCCAGGTCACCACCAGAGTGACAGTCCTGCTTGAAGAGGGGAGGTCACTGGTCAGGGAGGCCTCATCAGGAGGTATCCCACTGGGGGCTGATTAGGGAGAACGTTCCAGAGAGAAACACAGCGATGGGCCGGACCTGGGTGTGCAATGAGCTTGGCCTGTCCGAGGGCAGCAGGGCCTGTGTGTGATGTGAGGCCCCACCCCTGGGCGTGTTCCTGGGTGAAGAGGGGTGTCGGGGGGTGGGGTGAGCACAGGAGATGGGGATGTTTAGAAGGCACCATCATGGGACCAAGGGAGACAGGCAGAGGGCCACTGGCCTGCAGCCTGAGAAGGGGCCTTCCCAGGCGGTGGGCAGAGCGCGGGGAGCAGGCGGGCCTGCCGCCCTACCTGTCTCGCAGTGGTAGCCGAAGAAGCCCTCTGGGCAGACGCACAGGTAGGCCCCGCCGCCACTCTCACACCGGCCTCCGTGCTGGCAGGGGCTGGAGTCGCAGGCGTCCACCTCTGGAGAACACCCAGAGAGTGGGCCCAAGCCGCAAGGGGGGAGTCTGGGGGAGGGAGGAGAGGACAGCGGGAAGAAGGGAAAGGAGGAGTCTAGGGGCAGAGGCCAGGAGAGAGGGGCAGTGGGCAGGTCCCTCCCCTCAGACCTCCCCAGCACCCTCACCTCCACCCCTCCCTCCCAAGGTGGCCGCAGCCCTGGGGGTCCCTCTCCCCAGGTGGTCTGCCCAGCAGGGAATGTGGGGATGCTCCACCTCCTCTCTGATCTTCCAGAGGCCCAGGCTCTGCATGTGGGGCCCACTGGAGGGAGCCCCTACCTGTCTCACAGTGGACTCCAACGAAGCCTGCAGGGCACTGGCAGACATAGGCCCCCGGGAGGTTCCTGCAGGAGCCTCCATTTCTGCAGAGGTGAGCTCGGCACTCATCCCTCTCTGCACAGAGAAGGGGTGTCAAGGGTGTTGCTGGCTTAGGTCCGAGGCGCCTACGTGCCCCCAGGATTCTGTGCATTCCCGGGGGCTTTGGTCACCCCTTCCCCAACTGGGAGTAACTACTTGGGACATGTGCGCTTTCTTCCATCAGCCCCACACCCGCCCCTCCTCGGGAGGCATGCCACCTCCACTGCCTGCTGGCAAAGCCCCACCTCCAGGCCATGCCTTCCTCCAGGCCACTCTGCAGTGGGAGGCTCCCCAAGGCCACGACTGGGCACGGCTCCCTGGGCCTGCCCTCCCTGGAGCCTGCGTTTCTTTCTCAGGCTTAAGAGCCCTAGCAAGGTACAAGGGTGTGCAGGGCTCACGGGGCAGGCCTCCCCTCCCTCCACTGGCTGGCAGCACTGACCAGGTGTCAGAGGCTGTGACCTGCCCTCTGTGACACCCACCTTCTCTGCGCCCTGAGCCCAGGCCAGCACTTCTCAGCTGGGCTCTCAGTCTCCCCTGGGGAGGTGCAGGAAGGGATGTTTGTAAATCTTTGTCTTGGATGTCAGAGCTGGCAGGGGCCCGAGAGAGCATGCAGTGGCCACCCCAGCCATCCAGAGACCTCTCCAGGGGACCCACTGCCTCAGGCACATGGCCAGTGTGCTGGAGCTGCCACCCCAGCAGGGCCAGGGCCCCTCTTACCCAGCTCGCAGTGGGTGCCCTCGTAGCCTGTGCTGCAGAGGCACAGGTACCCAGCGACGTGGTCCTGGCAAGAGCCCCCATGCAGGCACGGCTGAGACCGGCACTCATCAATTTCTGAGAGGAGAGAGTCCAAGAGTAAAGCAATGTGGCCACAATGAAGCCAAATTAAGATGCACATAAACTAGTTCTGAGGGGCCCAAGAGAATTCGATGATACATCATCAGTGTTTGGAAAGGCCAGAGACCAGGGCTGGATATCCTTGGAGTCGGAGCAGGGCAGTGGGCCTGGGGCTCAGTGCCTGGCTGTGCCTATGAAGTGACAGGGCAGGCTCACAACCACCCCAGGGCTCACAGAAGACGCTGTGGGACTTAATTCCAGTGGTTCAGGCCGACAGGACAAAGGCCTCAGGGGTTTGGCAGAAAATGTCTCATGTCCCATCTTGCCATTTCAATGTATAATAGTCACCTATGAAACCAGTACCTCCGGGACCAGTCTTAGTTCTAAACGATTCACCACAGGTTTCTTTTAAAGTGGGAGTTGTGCTCCTGAATTTAAATGTTTATTTTTTTAAAGTTTAATTTCATGCTTAAAAAGTAAATAAACAGTAGTGACTTAGTGACATCTGGCACTAGCATCCGCCCTGGCAGCCAGAATGGTGAATGGGTTCATCTGACCTTGCACCCTCCTCTTCCCCTGTGATAAATATTTCTGGGTTTATCATTTCCTTATCTTTTAAAAATCAGGTTTTCTGGCGTAAAATAATTAAAATTAGCTTTAAAAGTTTTATAAATTGCCTAAACAATAATGACTGTGTTTTTGTTGTTTAGGAACTTTATTCATAGTACATCATGATATATATTGTCTTCTCTCAGCATTATACGCAGAAGAGAACTCCACATCACAGGTCACTGTGGTTCATAGATTTTCACTACTGAGTAACATTCCACAGTGTGGTTACATCATACTTCACCCATTCTCATTGGCTGGGTCTTTGGGTTGGTTCTAGACTTTTTTCCTTTTTTTTTGTTTCCTTTTTTTTTTTTTGAGACGGAGTTTCACTCTTGTTGCCCAGGCTGGAGTACAGTGGCATGATTGTGGCTCACCACAAACTCCGCCTCCCCGGTTCAAGCGATTCTCCTGTCTCAGGTTCCCAAGTGGCTGGGACTGCAGGTGCCCGCCACCACGCCTGGCTAATTTTTGTATTTTAGTAGAGATGGGGTTTCACTATGTTGGCCAGGCTGGTCTCGAACTCCTGACTTTATTAGGCTTTTCAAAGAACTAATTTTGGCTTGTCCTTTCTTTTGTATCTTTGATCTCTACTTCATTAATTGTGGCTTTTACCTTTATTCCTCTTTCCTTCTACTTTTTTCAGCATCATTTGGTATTTTTCTTCCTAACTTCTCAAGTCAGACATTTAATTAATCAAGTTTGAAATTTTTTTCTTTTCTAACATTGGTATTAATGTCAGTTTCCCCGGCTAATTTTAAAAATTTTTTGTAGAGATGAGGTCTCCCTATGTTGCCTTTGCTGGTCTTGAACTCCTGTGTTAAAGTCTGTCTTCTGCAATTCTGCTTCCAATCGTACATATTTTCTGGACTTTTATTATTGTTTTTTTGAGACAATTGTACTTTTCAGGTGTCTTGATATCCTGGCTGGTTGCTCATATTATCTGAGGATATCGGCTTTTCATCTGGCAACATATAGGAGGGGAAGTAGCACTGGGAGGGGGGTGGTCTCCAAGACAGTCAGGAGCTCACCCTGGGGCTTAAAGCCCAGAAGGAAAGGAGGGATGCTTGGAGCCAGGTGTTCCCAGAACCCTTCACCCGAGTGAGGCCACACAGGTTGGCCTTGGCTTTGCGGGGCATGTGGGGGACAGTGATGTGCTTATGTGCCCCACTCAAATCTGGGTGCTGTCACCCACTGTTCCTAAGCTTGTTTTAAAATCCTTACTTCATAAAACTAGCTCACATCACACAGACTTTCTGATGGACAGTTTGGACTCCTCTGGTGTAATGTGATGCACCTGTAGGGTGTTAATGGCCCTACTTCTCCAGGGGCTTCGGTCAGGGGGGCCTTGTCTCTAGGCTGTGCACCCCCAGCTCCCAAGCCAGAGCAGGGTGGGACCTCGGTGGCAATGCACTCCTCAAATGGCTGCAGAGGGTAGGGGTATCTTGTTTTGATTCCACAAGTCTTCAAGGGGCCAGGAGTAGGAGGTGGGTCCTGAACCTGTGTCTGGCTCTTTAGGACTCTGCCCCTGGGCTACCTCTTGGCCTCAGCTACTGCATCTGCAGAGTGGGTATTTGAGTGTTTGACCCCCTGCTCCGGGCTGCTCTGAGGACAGGGAAGCCTTTAGTGAATGGTCCAGAGCAAAGTTGACTGTGATCATCACCTCTGTCACCCCACGGTCCATATTCACAGACAGGAGACTGAGGGGAGAAGGGGCAGGACCAGGTCAGAGCTGGGCATCCTGCAGGCTTGGGCCTGCAGCCTCTGTGCTCCTCCACACGGGCAGGGTGAGGAGGGTGTGGGCCCCACCTTCCCCACCCCAAGGGCCCGCAGAATCACCAAGGCACTGCGGAGGCTCACTCCAGACACCATGTGGCTGACAGACCCGGATGCGGCTGGGGGCGCTCAGGCTGTAGCCACGGTCACATGCATACAGGGCCACGGCGCCCAGCCGCGTGCCGTTGAAGCGCAGTGTGGCGTGCTTCACCTCCTCTGGGGGGCCGCAGTCCACCTCTGCAAGGCACAGCAGCCTATCTCGCACAGTCCTGTGCCTTCCCGGCCCCTCCCCACCGCTCTGCCCTCTGCCCAACCCGGCTGCAGGGCCCAGAGACGTCCTGCTCCCACACTGCCCTTCGCCAGGGAAAGGTGCCTTGACTTCTGGGGCCTGGTTGCTGTGATATGTGTTTCCTTCTTCCCATCCCTGCCCTGCTTAGCTCTGCAGGGATTAGCAAGAAATCCCATGCTCCCCACTTGGCCCCCCGGCCCTCTCACCTGCCTGGCACCGGCGTCCCGTGTACCCTGCTTGGCAGTGGCAGAAGAAACCCGTGCCTCGGTCCTCGCAGGTGCCCCCATTCACACACGGGCTCCGGAAGCAGGGGGAGGGGGCTGCCAGAATGCAGGAGGGTCCTGGCCACTGTGTCTTCCCTGAAGGCTCGGGACTGCATGGGGCGTCCTGCCTCCTGCGCCCAGCTCCACCTCCTGCGCCTCCAGGGCCTGGACCAGCCCTGCCCACGGGCCTGTTTTCACATCTGCAGAGAGGGTTCCCCCGGCCGCCCTGGTCTGGCCTCCCACCCACCTTACCTATCTCGCAGTGCCGCCCGGAGAAGCCTGGGGGGCAGTCACATTTGTATTTGCCAATGTAGTGGAAGCAGGTGCCGCCGTTGTGACAGGGGCCAGAGGCGCATGAGTCTGGCTTCCCTGGAAGCAGAAGCCAGGTCAAGGGTCGCAGCCCACCGCCCCTCCCAGCTTCCCCAACATCCCAGAGCTGGGGCCTCTTCATGAGAAGCAGACCCACAGCTGGCAGGGAGGGTGCGTCAGGGGCCCCAGCTCAGGGCTGGCCCGTTGCTCCTGCCCTCCCCCCTGCCCCTGGGGGCCGCACCGATCTCACAGTGCCTCCCGGTGAAGCGGTAGGGGCAGCTGCAGTGGTACTCGCCGCCTGCCTCCTTGCACGTGCCCCCGTTCCGGCAGGGCCCGGAGCTGCATAGGTGTGGCCGGGCTGTGTAGAAGGACAGAGAGGCAGATGAACGGGGCCAGGCTGCTGGCTCCACAGAGCCACTATACCCTCTTGGCATCTTCTCAGTCCTCTGGTGCTGGTGGGGCCTGGCAGGCCAGGCCTGCTTCTTGACTGAGCCCTGCGGCCCGGCTGCAGAGGGGACCAAGCAGGTCCACACACATGGGGGAGACTGGGGTGGGGCTCGCAGGCCAGAGACCCCAACTCAGCCTCAGGTGGGCCCTTTGCTCGCCTGTCCTCTTCTCTGCCCAGGCTCTGGCAATGGCTGGGCCCTCCCTGTGGAGAACCGGCCCGGCTACTGCTGCAGGTGCAGCACTTCTCCCTCCTGCACACAAGTATTCCCTGTCTGACAGGAAGTGGCTGAGTCTCATCCGCCATGACATCAGGGTCCCCAGCAGTCAATCTGGATTTCTGTGTGTTCTGTACCGGCATTGGCATTGCCACATTTTCTCTGGGTCCTGACAGTTCCTGGGCCCCCAAGGGACTCAGACGCTAAGCATGTATTTAAAGGCATCTGCTAAACCAGCACATCTATCCTGCCACCTTGCCAATCACCCTGTCAAAGGGCCAGCGAGGAACTCCGAATCCTTGGACATCTGGGTTCTGAGCGGCAGGAGGGGCCTGCCCCACTGTGCTCGCTTCTCTCCCGCCAACCCTTACCCCCAGGGGCCTCCCAAGCTGCACGTCCAAGCTCTGGCTGCCCCACCCCTGAGGACAGCCATCCCTGTCCCTTCTGTACTCCCTTTGGGGTCAGAGGTGTCCACATTGGTGGCCCGTGTGCTCACGGAAGCTGGGACCCTGGGGGAGGGCTATGCAGTTCCCAGAGTGGGCACAGAACCGTTGGGGCAAGGACACTGGGTACTGGCAGTCTGGCCTAGTGAGGAGATGTCGGCTTTGGTAGGACACCCCTTGGGTGCAGTGGACTTCATGCCACTGGCAGGTGTGAGCTGGAGTAGGGCCAGAGTCAGCTCTGGGCAGGGCCCACGCAGGGCCTCAGGGTGGTCCTAGGAGTGTGTTGAGAGAGAAAGACCTTGTCAGAGCTTGCAAAGAACCAAGCAGTTGGGGTCTTCTCTTTGGAAACCTGTTCTACCTCTGCTGCAGGGATTGGGGGAGCCACGGGGTCCAGGGCTCAGACTTCAGGGTCTTTCCCTCAGGGACAAGAAACAGAGCAGGGGAGGGGCCATGGGAGGCTCCACACCAGTCCAGGCTACGGGGGTGCCTGGGGCCAAGCCCCTGGAGACGGTGCCAGGCCGCTCTGGGGTCAGGCAGCCCCCTCTGGGCACTGGCCACTGAGATGCCAAACAGGTCTGGGGGTCACTGATGGGAGTCCTGACTGTTGCTTCAAACTGCATGGAAGGGACAGTCATGGGTGGGGCCTGGCGGGGACAGCTACGCCTGCAATGTGCTTACGGAAGGACACTTCTACTCTCAAGCGGCTAAATGTAATAAAATTCGACATTGTCCATGCTGAATTAGATTAAGCAAAATCCTAAGGAAATTTTAAAAATAAAATTTAATATAATGATTCTAAAACCTATTTGGAAAAATGCTGAGAAGGCAATGAAGTCTATCTTGAGAAGAGCAAGGTAAGGACCAGCAGGCCTGGCACTGGTGCAGATCAGAACCGTCCCGACAGTGAGGTGCTCGCCTCCAAACACACAGAACAGAGCAGCACATCAGGCAAGGCTCTAGAGGAGGTCAGCAATTCGCCAAACAAAGACAGAGAGACCGCAGAAGCGGAACCGAGCCCCGCGGGCGCTCTCCAGGGTGCTGACGCCGGCGCCCCTGCCCGCCATACCTTTCTCGCAGTGCTTGCCGTGGAAACCGCGCGGGCACTCGCAGATGTAGGAGTCGTCATGGGCATCGCAGGAGCCTCCGTTGAAGCAGGGGTCCGAGTCGCAGGGTGATGGCAGGGCTGGGGGCGGGGGACAGAGGGTGGTCCTGGAGCTTATGCCGCATCCGTGCAGGCGGCAAGAGGCTGGCGGGCCACCTTGCCTGCCAGGGTTACCCTGACATCCTGTCTGGAACCAAGGCCACTTAAAATACTCTCTGTGGGCATCTTGGTTCCTCAGAGTGGGCTCTAAGGCCCCTCCCTGGAATTTCTCTTTTTCTCAATTTTAGCAGAACTCACCCTTCCCTATTTTCCGAGGTAGGACTGAGCTGTGATACAGAAACGCCTTGCTGTCATCACCGCCAGCATCACATCATTATTCCATATAATTATACATGATGCAAGCGATTAACCATCTATACACTAACAAACATATAGTAGTGACACATTTAATTACACGTGCCTAATTATGTATGCATTAAATATTTTAATAGCTTGTGTTGGGGCTTAGGGAAGATACCACACGGTGCTTGTACACTTGCAGAAGTGCTTTTCCACCTGTGAGCTTACTCCACTGGGGCAGAGGAGATGTCTAGCCCCATATTACAGGAAGGCTATTGAGAGAGGCTTCCCCAGGTGCCAGCTCTCCTGAGAGTCAGAAGGGAAGCAGGGACTCTGGCCTGTGCCTGCCTCACCCACCACTTTCTCCCTGGCTTCTGTTCGGGCCCCCAGCCCAGCAGGCTCATCCCTGCGCTACTCACAGTGGCTGGCATTGTGGTCGGTGTGGCAGACGCAGAGGTAGCTCCCACCGTGCTCCATGCAGTAGCCGCCGTCTGGGCACTGTGTGTTCATGTTGCAGGGCATGGCTGTGATTTCTGGAGAGAAAGGAGGAAGCCCCATCCCATATCCCGCATGTCTTCCGGCAGACCTCGAGTCCTTGTCAAGGATGGGGCTTCCCAAGACCCAGGGGCCCCAACAGGTTCAGGCACTCTTATGGCCAGGCCCTCCTGGGGTGGGCGTAGAACCAATGGTTGGCAGTCCGGACCTGTGGACCCCAGCCCAAGCCACCATTCATTTCCCGGTTATGAGGATGCTCAGGGACAGGGCAGGAAGGGTGCCCTCGGCACCTACCAAATTCACAGAGAAGCCCAAAGAATCCCGGGGGGCACTGGCAGAGGGTGGTGTTGGCGCCCAGGCATCTGCCTCCGTTACGGCACTCACAGTCATCGGGGACTCCTGCCACGGAGAGAGGGAGGAGCCTCCCATGTGGGGGCGCAGAAAGATGGCACCCTCGCTCCAGACCCTGGCCTGCTCCTGACCAACTTCCCATACAAACTGCAGTGTATGCACACTCACACGTTTCTTCTCGGGGTGTTTCCTGCATGCACCCACAGGAGGGCCCTCCCTGGGTCTCCTGCCCCAGCCCTAAAACGGCAGCCCTTGCAGCCCAGACGCACTCTGCCTGCAGTCCAGGCCCATGAAGCCTTCGGGGCACTCGCACACGTAGCCCTGGTCCGCATCCACACAGGTGCCCCCATTGTGGCAAGGGGCCGAGAGGCAGGCGTCGGGCACTGGGTGGTCTCCTGCAAGAACAACAGCGGTCACCAGCGGCCACGCAGGGAGTGTGGGGAGAGTGGTCTCCCCGCCCAGCTCCAATGGCACATTTGGGTTTTCACCTCTGTTCTCATTCCCAAGTGGAACTGAAGCCAGAAGCTTATTTCTGGAAATGGATTTGTAGCCGTCCTGCACCGCGTGGAGCTCAGTATTTCCCAGCTCCTTCCTTGGACAGGACAAGAAGCACCAGAAAAGCCACCCAGGATTGGACAGAACGAGAAGCACCAGAGAAGCCACCCAGGATTGGACAGAAGCAGCACCAGAGAAACCACCCAGGATTGGACAAAACAAGAAGCACCAGAGAAGTCACCCAGGATTGGACAGAAGCAGCACCAGAGAAACCACCCAGGATTGGACAAAACAAGAAGCACCAGAGAAGTCACCCAGGATTGGACAGAACGAGAAGCACCAGAGAAGTCACCCAGGATTGGACAGAACGAGAAGCACCAGAGGAGTCACCCAGGATTGGACAGAAGCAGCACCAGAGAAACCACCCAGGATTGGACAAAACAAGAAGCACCAGAGAAGTCACCCAGGATTGGACAGAACGAGAAGCACCAGAGAAGTCACCCAGGATTGGACAGAACGAGAAGCACCAGAGGAGTCACCCAGGATTGGACAGAAGCAGCACCAGAGAAACCACCCAGGATTGGACAAAACAAGAAGCACCAGAGAAGTCACCCAGGATTGGACAGAACGAGAAGCACCAGAGAAGTCACCCAGGATTGGACAGAACGAGAAGCACCAGAGAAGTCACCCAGGATTGGACAGAAGCAGCACCAGAGAAACCACCCAGGATTGGACAAAACAAGAAGCACCAGAGAAGTCACCCAGGATTGGACAGAACGAGAAGCACCAGAGAAGTCACCCAGGATTGGACAGAACGAGAAGCACCAGAGAAGTCACCCAGGATTGGACAGAACGAGAAGCACCAGAGAAGTCACCCAGGATTGGACAGAACAAGCACCGGAAAAGCCACCCAGGATTGGACAAAACAAGAAGCACCAGAGAAGTCACCCAGGACTGGACAGAACAAGCAGCACCAGAGAAGATGTCCTGTCGACATGTTCTATGAACCACTGAGAGGGGAGTGAATCACCACCAATAATTATGGACCTATTTCTCCTTGCAGTTCAGTCAGCTTTTGCTTCATGTGAATAGGTGTTAATAGGTACAAGTATATCTAGAGTTATGTCTTCTGGATGAATTGACCCCTTTATCATTATAAAAGATCCCTCCTAATTCCCAGCAGTATTCCCTATTCTAAAGTTTAATTTATTTGATATTAATGTAGCCACTGCAGCAGCATTATCTTGATTAGTGTTTACCTAATATTGTTGTTGTTGTTGTTATTATTATTATTATTATTATTATTTTGAGACAGAGTCTCGCTTTCTTGCCAGGCTGGAGTGCAGTGGCGCAATCTCGGCTCACTGCAACCTCCAACTCCCAGGTTCAAGCAATTCTCCTGCCTCAGCCTCCCGAGTAGCTGGGATTACAAGCACGCCCTACCACACCCAGCTAATGTTTGTATTTTCAGTAGAGACGGGGTTTCACCATGTTGACCAGGATGGTCTTGATCTCCTGACCTCATGATCTGCCCGCCTTGGCCTCCCAAAGTGCTGGGATTACAGGGGTGAACCACCACGCCAGCTACTTTTCGGTTTTTAAAAGATGTTCAATTTCTTCATATGCTTTCAAAATGTGTCTCTGTAAATTAGTATACAGTAAAATTGACTTTTGTTCACTACACCTCTATGAATTTTAACACATATATAGATTGGTTTAACCCCCACCACAATCAGGATGCAGGACATTCCAACTCCCTAAAAGGCTTCTTTGGTCTATCTCTTCAGAGTCGCAGAGCTCCTGTTACGCCTCAGTCCCTGGCAACTACTGATTTGTTCATCACTATAGTTTTGTTTTAGGAAGAATGCCATTTATGGAACCATACAGGATATACTCTTTGAGACTGGCTTCTTTCAGCATAATGCCTCTGAGATCCATCTAAGTTGTTGTATGCATCTATAATTGATTCTTTTTATGACTGGGTAGTATTCCCCTGTACAGAGGTTCCATAATTTGTCTATCCATTCACCCAGAGAAGGGTATTTGGGTTTTGGAGTTTGGTGATTATAAATAGAAATAATATAACCATTTGTATATGGATTTGTGTGTGAACATAAGTTTTCATCTCTTTAGAGTTAATACCAAGGAGTGGGATTGCTGGGTCATATTACAAGCATATACTTAACCTTATAAAAAAACCTGCCAAACTGTTTTCAGAGTGGCTGAACCATTTTGCATTTCCACTAAAAATGTGTGAGAGTTCCAGTTGCTCTGTATTTACCCCAGGTCAGTATTTTTTTTTAGACATTCTACTGGGTTTGTTGTGATTTCTTGTAGTGGCTTTTATTTGCATTTCACTAATGGCTGATATTAATGACAAGAATATTTTTTCATCCGTTTATTCACCTCCATATATATATCATTTGTGGCCAAGTGTCCGTTCTTTTGTCCATTTTAAAAATTGGGTTGTTTGTTTTCTCGCAGTTGAGATTTGAGAATTCTTGATGTATTCTGATCACAAGTCCTTTGTTGGGTATGAGTTTTGCAAATGTTTTCTCCTGGTCTGTAGCTTGTCTTTTTATTCTGTTAACCGTGTCTTTCACAAAGCAAAAGTTTTAAATTTTGATGAAGTCTAATTTATCTGTTTTTTAAAAATGAATCATGCTTTTGCTGTCTTATCATCTAAGAATACTTTGCTTAAGACCAGGTCATAAAGATTTTTTTTTGGCCTATGTTTTCTTCTAAAAATATTATAGTTTTATGTTTTTCCATTTAGGTCTATGATCCATTCTGAGTTAATCATTGTATAAGGTGTGAGGTTTAAGTTGAGGATATATATATATATGTATATGGATATCTAATTGTTTCAATCCCATTTGTTGAAAAGATTATCCTTTCTCCATTGGATTTAAATCATTTTAAAAAATTAATTGGCCATATTTGTTTGGGTTTAATTCTGAATTTCCTCTCCTGTTTCATTGATCCATGTGTCAGCTCCTTTGCCAATATCACACTGAATTGATCACTGTGGCTTTACAGTAAATCTTAATACTCAGTAGTGTGATTCTTCAAAATTCATTCTTCATCAAAACTGTCTTGGTTTTCTAAATTCTTTTTCTTTCCATACAAATTTTAGAAGCAGTTTGCCTACATTCACAAAATATTCTGCTGAGACCTCTGTTGGAATCATGTTAAATCTGTAAATCAATTTAGAGAGCACTGCCATATTTACTATGTTGAGTCTTCTAATCCATGAACATGGTATGTCTCTCCATTTACTTGATCTTTATTTCTTTCATCAGCACTTTGTAGTTTTTCAGCATACAAATACTCTAATGTTTTATTAGATTTATACTAAAGTCTTTCAACTTTAGAGGTTTACTGACCATACCATTATAAATTGTATTGTCAAATTATAAATGGTATTGTCAATAAAATTTTAGACCAGATTACACAGATTCTGCCAACTTAGGGGAGCTCAGGAGTTCATAAATAACTTTATGGAGTTGCTGTCCCAAGATTCACCCTCCACAGTTTCCCCAGTACTTTCCAGTTTTCTGGGGCTACCTTGTTCAGTCCTCTGGCAAAAATGTTGGGGCTTTTACTTCCTTACCGTGCCACTTTTATAACGATGGCATTCATGGCTGGGACCAAGTAATGGGATGACAGAGAAAGGGAAAAACAACAGGAAAGGGAAAAACAATACCCAACCCCTTTGAAACCACAGCACCTCCAACTGGAGAGGAAGGTTTCTTCCCTCGCAGTTTAAAGACACTTGAGGACTCCCCAACTTCTGCACTGTCAGCCCTGCTTCTTAAGCTGGACTAGAGGGCTTCTCCTGGAGCACTCTTTTTGTCCATGTGGAGGCTTACTTCTGGTTCTGAGGTGGCTTTGAGTCCAGGCTGGGGGGATACCGAAGCAAAAAACAAACAATGGTAAACTCACCACTGGTTTGGTGGCACTTCAAAGCTTGGTCTTCTTCCCCAATCCACCTGCTACTATTGACTTTTCAGAGTCCTCTGATAGCTACTCCATGCATTCTGTCCAGGATTGTAGCTGTATTCAGTGGGGGAGAGACAGGGGTAGACTATGCTTACTCTATCTTTCTCAGAACAGAAACCCATTCTATTACTTTACAATTATCTGTGTCTTTATACTTAGAGTGGGTTCTTGTGATGGCGTATAGTTGGGTATTGCTTTTCAATTCAATCTGACAATCTTTGCCTTTTAATTTGTATGTTTACTCATTTTAATTTTAATGTAACTACTAATATGACTAGATTGAACCTATCATCTTGCTTTTGGTTTTCACTTGTCCCACTTCTTTCTTTTTTTCCTCTCTTCCTGCCTTCTGGATTGAGTATTTTTAGGATTCAATTTCTATCTCCACAATTGGTTTATTGGCTATAATTCTTTATTATTATTTTTCACTTGTTGTTTTGGGTTTACAATGTGTATCTTTTACTTACACAGCCCACCTTCAAACAACATTATACCACTTTATATAATATAGGGACCTTACAATATTATACTTCCATTTCTTCCTATCTTTTACATTGGAGTTGGTAAACTATAACCCACAGACCAAATTTTACAGTTGGTAAACTATAACCCACAGACCAAATTTTACCTGCCATCAATTTTTTAAAGTACAGTTTTATTGGAACACAGCCATACCTATTCATTTATGTATTGTTTATGGCTGGCTGCTTTCACATTACAATGGTAGAGTTGAATTGTGATAGAGACCATACGGCTCAAAAAGCCAAAAGTATTTACTATCTGGCCCTTTACAGAAAAAGTTTGCACACCTTGGTTTTTGTTATTGGAGTCATCTATTTTATTTCTGCATATGTTATAAGCTTTATTATTTTATTTTAAAAATTATCTTTAAAGGGATTAAGAAGTCTTCAACCTACATATTTATCATTTTTAACAATCTTCATTCTTTTGCGTAGATCCAGATTTTCCCTTGGTACCAGTTTTTTTTTTTCTTCTGTCTAAATAATTTCATTTAACATTTTCTTGTAATGCAGGTATGCTGGTGATGAATACTCTTAATTTTTGTTTGTGTAAAAAAGTCTTTATTTCAGCTTAACTTTTGAAATGTAGTTTTGCTGGTAATACACTATAGTACGTTGATGGTTTTTTCCTTTCAGTACTTTAAAGGTGTTACTCCAGTGTCTCCTGGTTTGCATTGTTGTTGATGAGAAGTCTGTTGTCATTCTTGTTTCTCTGTATGTAATGTGGCTTTTTCCTCTGGCTGTTTTTGAGATTTTTCATCATTGGTTTTCAGCAATTTGATTATGGTTTGACTTTGTGTGGTTTTCTTCATGCTTTTCTTGGAAATGTGGGTTTTAGTTTTCATCAAATTTGGAAAGCGTTTGGGTATTATTTCTTCACATACTTTTTCTGTCACACTCCTTTCCACACCCACCTCCATCCTCCTTCGCAGACTCCAGATACGTGGATCCTATTACCCTAATACCGTTCTGCATACTGCTGAAGATCTCTTCTTTTTCTTTTAGTCTTATTCTCTCTGTGATGCATCTTGAATTGTTCTGTTTCACTCTTCAGGTTCATTGATCTTTCCTTCTGCAATATCTAACCTGCTGTAAATACTATTCAGTGTATTTAAAAAACTCAGATAGGGAGGCCGAGACGGGCGGATCACGAGGTCAGGAGATCGAGACCAGCCTGGCTAACACGGTGAAACCCCGTCTCTACTAAAAAATACAAAAAAACTAGCCAGGCGAGGTGGTGGACGCCTGTAGTCCCAGCTACTCGGGAGGCTGAGGCAGGAGAATGGCATGAACCTGGGAGGCGGAGCTTGCAGTGAGCCGAGATCCGGCCACTGCACTCCAGCCTGGGCGACAGAGCGAGACTCCATCTCAAAAAACAAACAAACAAACAAACAAAAATAAATAAATAAATAAAAAATCAGACATATTTTTCATCTCTGCAAGTTTTAAAAAATACCTTCTACTTCTTATTAGGCTTTTTCCCTCTCAACAATCTTGATTATAGGAGTATATTCATAATAGATAATTAAACGTCTGTATCTGCTATTTCTATCATTGCCTGTTTCTATTGATCTATTTTTCTCCTGGCTGTGAGTTACATTTTACTTCTTTGTAGACCTGATAATTTTTGACTGGGTATTTTGGAGTTCCGGATTCTGTTACATTACTGATCCTGTTAAGGAGTATAGGATTTCATTCTGGCACAAGGCTAAATGACTTAGGATCAGTTTGATCCTTTTAAGCTTTCTTTAAGATTTGTTAGGGCAGGTCGACATTAGTCTTATTTCAGCACTACTAAAGTGACACCCCACTGATGACTCTACACAATAGATTACCAGCCCTGTTTGAGCCCCAGAAACTGTCTGACTTACTGCTTTCTAGTGGTTCTTTCCCCAGCCTTGCGGATTTCATCCTGAGCCTGATGATACTGAGCCAAAATTCAGGGAGGTCTCCTCTTGATCTCATGTTCCCTCCTGCCTCAGGAGCACCATCCTGTAGCCACTGAACTAGGATCTTCATCTCCTCAATTCAGAGGGACTGCTGGACTCTCAGTTCCTCCTCCCAGCACAGTGGCCTGGAAACTACCCCAGGCAGAATCTGGGGCAATTGTAGGGCTCACCTCATTTGATTCCTTTTTCTCAGGGATGACAGGCTTGTGCTGTCTGTTGTCCAATGGCTGAACAAGGCGTTTCACAAATTTTGTCTGTTTTTCTAGGTGATGACAGTGAGAAGGAGATTCCAAGAGCAGTTAATTCTTATTGGCTAGAAGCAGAAGACTAGAAACTCTTTCTTGTAGTCTTCAATTTGTGGCCAACTTCCTGTCAGACCTGATTAGACTGTCAGCATCTGCGCCTTGTAATACAGTCAATCAGCCCTTACATTAGCACAAGTGTCAGTCTGTTGTTTCTTCCTTCTTCTTCTTTTTTTTTTTTTGAGACAGAGTCTCCACTCATTCTGTCGCCCAGGCTGGAGTGCATTGGTGTGATCTCAGCTCACTGCAACCTCTGCCTCCTGCTGGGTTCAAGCAATTCTCCAGCCTCAACCTCCCGAGTAGCTGGGACTACAGGTGTGCACCACCACGTCTGGCTAACTTTCGTGTTTTTAGTACAGATGGGGTTTCACCATGTTGGCCAGGCTGTTCTTGAACTCCTGACCTCAAGTGATCCGCCCGCCTTGGCCTCCCAAAGTACCCAAAGTGCTGGGATTACAGGCATGAGCCACTGCACCCAGCCAGTCTGTTTCTTATTATTCACGTCTACTTGCATTATTATTCTGTACGAAACACGGTTTATTTGCAAAAATCTTTTGAAACCCCTTATCTGTTTCCTGACATGAATTTAGGGAAATACACTGATATTTAGATAACAATCTGGGCAAAGTAAGCTGTGACATGGAACAGTGACTTTAAAGCAGCCAAATAGGTGAGGCTGCCTCCTCCTGCTTCTGCCCTGCAGAGCACCACCCTCCCCTCAGGACACACCCTGGCCTCCCATGCCCTCGGCAAAGACTGATGGAGGGCCCATGACCCTCTGTGTCTTATGGATAAAACAGAATTCCCTCCTTAATTTTTTAAATAAAAATAACCTGAATAGTTTGTCTTTATCATCTCCCTGGAGAGAAGCAGCACCTGCTGCGTCCATAGAGGTCGGCACAGTGGGTGAGCCTCTGGAGGTGGGTGCAACAATCAGACACGAAAGCCATTTTTATACTGTGGGCTGTAATCTCCAGTTGGCTTTTTAATTCCTCTAACAAGTCACAACTAGCAGTTAAACAATACAAAATAGAATAGAAAATAGTGAAAGGTCAGTTTTCTTTCTGATTCCCGTTACTTTCCCTTGTGTGCTGAGGGTTCTAGAGTAGGAAAGGAAGATGTTAAAAAGTCAAGAGTCACCCAGGCTGGAAGAGGAGCCTTGGGAACTTTGTCATCCCTCCCGGCACTTCACAGATGGAAACCAAGGCCCAGAGAGGGGAAGGGGTTGCTCAGCCTCACACAGCACCTTGGAGGCAGCATCCATCTTTTGCTTCCTATTTTTCCTGCAGTTGGTGGCTGAGGATCCAGGCTGAGCGGGAAGCGCTGGGGAGTGGGAAGGGGGCAAAGGCATCCCCCCACCCCAGAGGCAGGTGTGAGGTGAGTCAGACGGCGAGGCAGGAAGGAGAAAGTGGCTATGGTGGTATTCACGGCACAAGGCCACCATCAGCCATGGCGGGCTCCAGGCACTTGGCCAGTTACCTGTCTCACAGTGAAGTCCCTTGAAGGGCTCTGCACACAAGCAGGTGTAATTCCCCACTAGGTCAACACAAGAGCCTCCGTTCAGGCAGGGGTCAGGGCTGCAGTCGTCCACATCTGAGGGGCAGCAGAGTTGGGGGCTTTGCTTGAGCCAGGCCACGACCACCCTGTGCCCAGCACCTGGCCACAGGCAGGAGCCCCTCTCCAACCCGAAGCCAGGCCACTCACCCGTCTCGCAAGCTGCTCCAGTGTATCCAGCCTGGCACACACACACCGCAGAGCCGTTCTCCACCTGGCACTGGCCACCATTTTGACACTCTTTGGTGTCACAGGGGGACTGGGCTAGAGTGAAGAGGTATAGACAGGATGATGGACTCTCAGCTGTGGTTACCTGATGGGACAGAAACCCCTGGGATGTACACTGAGCCCCATCCCCGACGGGCCTGCAGGGCTGGGGGCCTGGCAGGCAGGTTTCTGAGGGGGCAACAGGCAAGGAAGAGGCCAGGCCTGGCCAGACAGTCCTGACTGGCCACCTGAAGCTCCATCTGAACTAGGTCTAATTCAGCAAACCTGGGACGGAGGGAGGAGTGTATATGCTGGGCAGGGGCAAATGGGAGTGCATGGAACCCACTCCCACTCTCGGGGGACAGTCCCTCCCTAGGTGGCTCTTATTCCAAGTGGACTGTGACAAGAGCTGCTGTCGAGGATGCAGGCTGTGACTGAGCCTGGAAGGGTGTGTAGCACCCACGGTGTAGGAGTGGCCCCTGGGGCGAAAGGCTGGGTGGGGCAGGAAATGGCCTGTGCAGGAACAGCTAGGGCAAAGGGACTCTGGTCCCCCGTTACTGAGTGGGAGTGAGCTAGGGGAGCCCACCCTCTGCCTTGCCTCCTTATCGGATGCTGGCCCTCCTTGAGCCCACAGTACCTGGCCCAGGTATCCCAGGTCTCTCCTTTGCCCCCAGGCAGCAGAGCCAGAAGCAGGGGGTAGCCACATCCCCTGTCTTACTGACAGCTCATACCCAAACAAACTCAGAAACCAGAGTGATAGCCAGAACGTGTGTCCCTCCCTGGAGTCATGGGCGAATGGTGGGGCCCTCTCCTTGGCACAGGAAAGAGACAGGAGGGCCTGACCACTCCCCCAGGAGGTGTGAAAGCCCTTTGGTGGCTGATGGGACATGGTGATCCCTGTCTCCCCGACCCCAACTCCAGTAGGTGGAGCAGAACGTACGCCCTTGCCTGTAGTTGTGGGTGCCCCTGCTGTTATGAGCTCTGGGGGCCAAGGTGGCTTCTGAGACCAGGGAGCCTCTGGGGGCGGTCGCAGGGGGGAAGGCTTGTACCCAAGGCTTGTGCCACAGCTGCACTGAAAGCCAAGGCTCAGGGCTCAAGGCCATGTACACAACTGACATGCTGCAGAACCAAGACCTGAACCAGCCTCCTGGCACCAAGCCCCAAGCCCTCTTAGGGGACCTCACCAGGCTGTACGTCACAGGGGGGCTCCTGGAGCCTGGGGCATAGCCAAGGAGCAGCCTGTTCCTGAGGAGCTCTGCTCAGTCACCCTTGGGGACCCTCATCATAGGCCTGGGTCCTCCCGCAGCCAGGCCCCCAGCCAGCACCGCACAGGGAGAGCACTGAGCGAGAGGAAGGAGACCCTGCCGGCCTCGCTGGCCTTTACCAAGGGGACAGAAGCCTGCAGGGCTGAGCCTGCCATGGCACCAACACCACAGAAGCCTGACTCCCACCCGTCTCACGTCAAGAACACGTGGGCAAGCAGGGCAGGAGTTTCTGGATGAAGAAAGGCTCCTTTGCATGGAGCTTGCTCCAACAGTGGCTATGGGAAGACAGTGGCAGGGGCCGGGGAGCAAGGGATAACTGGGGTCACTGTGTTGTCACCCATGTGTGATCTGTAAACACACTGGCAAGCCCATCTCGCCGGGTGGGAATTGTGCTTTGCTCCTTTGGACCTTGAAGTCATGTTTCCGTTGCATTCCTGCAGAATTTGATTCTAATGTACTTTTAGGTGCAAAAGTCCCTTACTGCCACTCAACTATAGTTCTCTCCAGTACAAATATGTGTAAACACTGGAATGAAATACTTTAAAAAACTTCCCATGACCATAAATATCTGATAAGAATTGTTTTTTCTAGACTGAGATATTGATATAGTCACTATTTGAACACACTGATCTAAACAATCTATTACATGTTTTTATAAGCAATTGTCACACAGGACATGCACACCTGGCTGAGCCGGGTGGGAAGCAGCAGGTCACGATGCTTTGATTTTAGGGGCTCCCTTTGCAAAGCTCCCTGAGCAGAGCCCTATGGTGAGACGGAGAGCAGGAATGGGGGGGGGGTCCACCTTTCTTTACCAGGTGGGTGAAGGGCATGGGTGAGGGGTCCAAAGAGGTGCTGTTGGAAGGGCAGTAAGTAGAGGCCGACTCTGATGACAGCTGCTTCAAAAGAGCTGGGCTCTGAACTGGGAGGGCAAGCAGAGGTTTGGAAGCAGCAATGAGGATGGAGAGGGACTCCAGGCCCCACCTAGGCTGTGAGACCCCCTTTCCCTAAAGGCGGGGGCAGGAGAGAAACAGCATCCAGGAGCAGCTGGAGGGAGCGGCAGGGACCGTGTGGCTGTGCTCTTCCCGCCCCACGGCCAGCCCATCTGACCCCAGAAGCACTGCACGTTCCCCTCAAGCTGGCCCTGGGCTGAGAGGGGGTCTGACGGCCCCACCACACCCCCTGACGGGCTCTCATCCAGGCCCTGGTGCCTGTCTGGCCCTGACCTTGGCCTGGTTTGGGACCTGGGCACTGGCCTGTTCTGAGGCCTCATCCCTGGTCCAAATGCCATGGCCTAGGAAGCCTGTGTGACTGGTCATGGCTCCTGCCCCCCACCCAGATATGGGCCCTTCCCTGGGCATCCGGGCTCCTCCACTCCCCAAGGGTGGCCTCTCTGGGCTGTCTGCCTTGCAGCACGCGCAGCTGCCGGACCTTCCTAGACCTCAGCCTTGTCTAGCTGTGTCTTCTGCTATCCTGCACCCAGCAGGGCCACAGGGCCCACGTGGGTTCCTCTTACCTGTCTCACAGGTGGGTCCCCCAAAGCCGGCCGGGCACTGGCAGCGGAAGCTGTTGATGCCATGAGTGCAGGTCCCGCCGTTCTGACAGGGCTGGGAGGCACATTCGTTCACGTCTGAAACATGGGCAGGCTGAGGCCTCAGCGGCAGGAACCCGGTTGAGGAGTTTCCTCCAAGGCCTCGGGTTGGGCCGGGGACGGAGGAGCAAGCCCGAGATTGGCTCAGAGAGGGCAGCAGCTGCACCCGCCTGTGGTGCTCATCCCAGGGGACCATGGCGTTTGCTCCCCAGCGGTCCCCTAAGCAAGTCACCCACACCCTGGGGACAGAGACCCCTGGGCGCTCAGGGCCGCTGGCGGAGCCTACAGCGTTCCTCCTGAGCCCAGCACAGCCACTCACCCACGTGGCACCTCCGCCCCGTGAAGCCCGAGAGGCAGGAGCAGGTGTAGGAGGGGTTGCCCGTGACACAGTCGTCGATGCACTTGCCACCGTTGAGGCAGGGGCGCAGGGTCAGGCACACGGAGGCTGCAGACACACGGAGGGGCTGGAGCCTCAGCCGCAGCTTCCGACTCTGCAGGAGAGCCGCTCCCATCCGCGTCTCCCTTCCCTCCCCTGACCCAGAAGGTTGGCCTCTGGGTGTCCGGGTGACCGCAGCAAAGCAGCCAGGTTTCAGGTTTCACTTTAGGTCGGAGCAGGGGAGCAGGGGCAGTGCTAGTGCTGTCGGCGTGGCCTCGGGAATGTGGCTTCGTGTGGGGCGGACTCCCTGGAGCGACTCCCACCAGCACCCTCCTGCTCCCTCCGTCCCTCCCAGCGCTCCTGGCGCCCCTCCCGGGTTCCTGGCCTGGAAAACCTGCGGCTGGCGCTCAGCCGTCACGTCGACGTTTCTGGGACAAGGCAGGCCACGCAGGGGGTGCGGCCGGGGGCTGCAGGAGGGCTCTGTCCCGCTCTGGGGCCGGGGGTGGCAGCTCCTGGGCCCCCCGCCCCTTCAGCCCGACTCCCTAAGCTCAGATGCAGGCGGGGCCTGTTCGCGCCCCGGTGTGCGGGTAGCTCGGGCTCCTCGGGTCTCCGCTGCGGCGCCACCTGCAGCCCTCAGATGGCTCTTCCCGCCCGCGCCTGCATCTTTCCTCTTCCCACGATGCGCGCGGTGCTCTCCCCACTGCGTGGCGCGCCTCTACCCCCACCCCCTCCCCGTGACGTGCCTCCAGCCCCCACCCCTGCTAAGCCCCGCCTCCAACCCCGTGGCACACCTGCACCCCCCACCCCGTGGTACACCCCCAACTCCCACACCCTCTACCCCTCACTCCCAACCCTGTGGCGCACCTGCACACCCCACCCCCGCCCCCACACTCTCTACCCCTCACCCCTCACCCCGTGGGGCGCCTGCACCCCGCCTCCGCCCCGACAGTGGTGCGCCCACATCTGCTACCCCCGTCGTGTCCTCTGGGGACTCAGTGTTGTGGAGAAGCAGCCCCTCTCCCCTGTCGGTAGCCTAGATGCTGGTGGCTGGGAGCTGAGTCTGGGGCAGGTTCCAGCGCGAGCCTCACTGTGGCCCAAGGCTTGGCAGGGCTTGTGAGGCGCAGCCCCCTTGGAGCGGATCAGTTGCTTGCCCTGGCCCCATGTGTAAACAGTGATTTCCAAGGCTCCTTGGCTCCTGAGGTCGCACAGCAGCAGGGCTGGGGCTACCATCCACCGCTCTGCTGCCGCCCTGGCTGTTCCCACAGACCACGTGCCCACCCCTGGGAGGGACACCCACCCCGTCCATTTGTGCACTCTGGGCTGGAAGGACCCCTGGAACTCCCCTGTAGATGTGATGCTTGGGTTTGTCAAGCAGACACCAAACCCCACCAAGCAGCAAGCCCGCTGGCAGAAATGAGGACCTGGGCGGTAAGAGGACCTGCCCATGGGTGGCCCTGAGGGTCAGAGACCACATGCTTCTCCTCCCCCAGCCCAGGCAGGAGGCCGGGTGGGAATGAGGGGAGAGTACAGACCTCATGGTCCCAGGGAGAGGCGTCCCTGGGCTCCTCCTCCCCTGAGGACCCACAAGTCTTTACCCCTGAAACCCGCAGTCTCCAGAGAGTTCCCTCCAACCCAGAGCAGTGTGTGTGGGGGGGTCTTCTCTAGGGGAAGCTGAGGCTCCAGGACCTGCCAGGCCTTCCTTAGTTTCACATGCCTGAGATGGGCTGGGCTGGAGACCCAAGTCCCCCTACTCTCCCGGTCAGCATCCAGCCCCCTTCCTCTCCACCTCTCCTTTGCCATCAATCCCCTTCCTCAGCCCGCTCCCACCCCAAGCTGCTCCTCTGTCCTCTTACTTGTATGGCCGCAGCCCCCCACGCGCACCTGGGCATCATCGATTCTGAACGCCCAGCGCCCGGGCACACCCACGTTGGTGGTGGTCTCCACCTCGGCCATGTCTGCCGTGCGTGAGCCGGGGATACTGAAGTAACGCTGCCCATCGCCTGCATTGAAGCCAGCCTGGGGGTGGGGTGGGGGCAGAGTGAGGGAGGCCAGTTCCCCAGGTCTACAGACGGAGGGGTTTCCCTGCCCCCACCGTGTTCCTGCCAGGGTCGGCAACCTCCCAGCCAAGTCCTGATCTCAGCCAACCGTTCCTGGGAGCCAAGGAGAGGGTTGGCCCTGGCTCCCCAGCCCAGTCCTCCGGCAGCTCACTTCTGGGCTCCTGGGCCTCCCCTGGGGCCGGGGGCAAGTATGACCCCAGAGGAAGCAGGTGGCCCGGAAGTGAGCAGAGGTGCGTGCAGCCCCAAGGCACTCGGGCCTGGGGAACACTGACCCTGTGGCCGTTGTTCTGTTTCATTCCCTCCACACCCGGGGTTTCCTGTCAGCTGTGGTCCCTCGGGTCACTGGCTAGGCCAGACTGCAGGGCACAAGGAGCAGAGGACATTTCTGTTGCTGCCACAGCTGTTAAAGGGGACTGCAGGGGCGGGGCGGGCAGGGCAACGGGACAAAGATGCCTTCAGGCCTGAGGATGTTTCTTTGTTTTCCGGCAGCGAGAGGCCTCAGGGATGGTCATGGATGCCTCGCGCTGGCCTCTGCATGGTACGGGGGGGGGTCTGCCTATGGTGGGCCCCTGTCTACCTCATCAGCTCATGACAGTCCTGGCTGTGGGGAGCAGGGGTCCCGAACACAGAGCACCCACTGCACTCGCCTACCTGGGCTGCAATGCCCCCCAGGCCAGTGGCGTTGCCCCCGCTGCTGGCGTGTGTGCCTGTGGTCCATGCGATGGACTCATAGTTGAAGATGGTGAAGGAGAGCTTGCCGTCTGTGATGAGCACAGTCTGGAATGTGTTGACCTGCCGGGGAGAGGGGGCTGAACAGGGCCCTGCACTCCCCTTGGCCCACGGAAGCCCTGCCCTGTCCACCATCCTGGCACACTGTCATTGTCCACTGGGCCTCTGGCTTGCTCAATGTCTGTGTCTTCTAGCTGAACGAGCAGCCAAGGCAGGACCTCGGTGGCCTCATCCTCTGCTGTCTCCCAGAGCCTGCCACTCAGCAGAGGCCGTTCCCAACCCACAGCTGTTGCTGGGGTGAGTGAAGCACCCAGGGCGGGTGTGGGGCCCACAGATGGGAGCAGACCTTGTCCCCTGCCCTTAGCCAGATCTACACAATCTCCTGTGTGAAATGAGCAAAATTATAAAAAGGAAAAGAGGGAAGGTAAAAAGAACCAAGGAAGAGCCATGCTGCAGCGTTTAATAGTCAGGCCTCATGGTTTCCACAGCATTCTGCTGCATGGAAATATCAGCGTACAGATGAGAGACGCCAGATGAGAATCGAGCAAAGGATCGGGACTGTTTAAGAAATGATCTTGGGACAAACAGGAAACCCCCTGAAAAAGAATCAGATCAGAGTCCTGTCTTTCACCACACACGAAAAGAAATCCCAAATCCAATAAGGTTTTAAAGTGAAAGAAAAGTCCTACAAGAAAATGCAGGTGAATATGTATAACTCAGGAAAGGGAAAGGACTTTTTAAGTGTGATGTTTGTTCACAGCAAAAACCAAAAGGGAGAATTATGCATTTGACTGCAAAGGGCTTCTGAATATTTAAAAAAATCCATAAGATCAAACTGAATGGCAAACAGTAATGTGAAAAACGTATTTATAATGCATAGGGCAGATAAAACTTTCCAGACCCTTAGTTCAAGAACTACAGATCAATAAGAAAAAGTATCACAGAAAAAATGTCAGAGGGTATGAACAGACACATCACAGTAGAATATAAGTAACCAGTAATATTAGAACACATTCAGCCCACTAGAAATTAAAGATGTGTAAGTTAAAAAGTAGCACTCATTGTTTTGTCTATAGAGCTGACAAAGCTGGAAAATGACAGCTGGGGTGCAAGGAAACCGGCACTTCTAAATGTGGGTCCTCAGAGTATTGAATGTGTAGATTCTTTTTTTTTTTTCTTTGAAATGGAATCTCCCTCTGTCACCCAGGCTGGAGTGCAGTGGTGTGATCTCAGCTCACTGCAACCTCTGCCTCCCAGGTTCAAGCAATTCTCCTGCCTCAGCCTCCCCAGTAGCTGGGATTACAGGCACCTGCCATCACGCCCGGCTGATTTTGGTATTTTTAGTAGACAGGGGAGTTCGCCATGTTGGCCAGGCTGGTCTCAAACTCCTGACCTCAGGTGATCCGTCTGACTTGGCCTTCCAAAGTGCTGGGATTACAGGCGTGAGCTACCACACCCGGCCTGAATGTGTACAGTTTTGAGAGGAAAATTGGAATTCTGCAGGTGACAATTGCCCTTCTAAACACGTGTACCAGGACAGGATCATGAATAAGCCGACCTGAGCTATGCCGTGCCCACCTCAGGCCCCTGGGATTGCAGCTGTCCAGCCATGGGGTGCAGGTGAAACAAATTTGCATGCCACCTGGTGCTGGGCTAGTTTGTAGTCACTGAGAAAGATGGGTGATTATACAGTGTACATGCCACTTATGTAAAAGTCAACATTAGAGAAACTATGTGCTCTGCTTTAGGAAAGCGAATGTAAGTGCTATCACTCGGAAAACAAACGAAGACGTGAGGGCTGCAGAATTGGGGTGATGGCACCATCTAGGGGACAGGGCGGACTAGAGCCAGTAAGGGCCCATGGTGGGGCTCTGGGAGCCGGAGAGGCGCAATGAGGAGGTGCATGAAGCTCAACTGTCCATTTTCTGCCAATGAACCTGCTCCTGGAAGTGCTGCTGGCTGGGTTATGCTTCTGAGCACTTCCTGATGCCTGGCTGGAGTGACCCCATGGGGCAGATGCATCCTGTCTGCTTCATCCAGGGCTGTCTGCCCAGTGCCTAGAACACTTGCCTGTCATTTGGAAGGTGCCCTTAAAAAGTGTTTATTAGGAGGCCGAGGTGGGCGGATCACCTGAGGTCAGGAATTCGAGACCAGCCTGGCCAATATGGGGAAACCCCCTCTCTACTAAAAATAGAAAAGCATGCCTGTAATCCCAGCTGCTCGGGAGGCTGAGGCAGGAGAATCGCTTGAACCTGGGAGGCGGAGGTTGCAGTAAGCTGAGATCGTGCTATTGCACTCCAGCCTGGGCAACAGAGCAAGACTGTGTCAAAAAAAAAAAAAAAAAGTGTTTATTAAATGCATGAACAAACAGCTCTGAAAATGGCAGCTCTGCACCCAGTGCCTCTTTTCTAGGGAGTCACTGTCTGTCTTGCACAGCCATGATCCAGTGCCCAGTGCAGGCCTGGCCACAGTAGGTGCTGAGTAAATACATCTGCCCCGGAGTGGGCAGCTGTCCTTGTTAGGGAGTGTCAGCCCACCAGAACTCATCAGGCCTGCAAAGCGGCTGATTATTCTTGAGTCAACGTTTCTGTCATATTTGGCATTATCAAGGAAGAGTATAAAACAGAATAACCTTAAAGTATAATAATAATAAAACAAAACAAAACAAAACCAGAATAACCTTCCAGTTTAACCTTTTGAGTACTGGGCCATTCCAAATGGAAATCCTCCTAACACGTATCAACCCACATGCCTCTCTCTGATGCGTGAGCTGCTGCTTTGGGGAATTTGGTGTTTCCTGGAGGCAAGTGGCTTTCAGGAGCACTGGAGAAGGTGGGGGCCGTGTCCTCTTCTTACCTGTCTCCGTGGTTTTGACCACATGTTCCCCTCTTAGATATGGACCAGTGACTGTACCACACCCACATTAGCAAGTGGGGGCCCTGGTGTGGGGATACCCTGGGCCCTAGCCACACACACCACCCCTTCCCCCCCAGGACAAGTGCAAGTGCCTGGACTCACAGGGGATGAGGAACTGCCTCCAAAGAAGGTCACTCGGTACCAGGTGGCAACAAAAACCCAGGTGGCATTGAAGTCCAGGAGCTCGGGGAAGTAGTGTCTGACATCCTCCGTGGCTCGGCGCAGCGTGGCTGGGTCGGTGGCCTCCCGGTAGTACACATCACCTGCACGCCGGTTGTCCACATCTGCCCAGAAGGCTGCCACCACGCAGCGGTCCTTGGCAATGGGGAAGGCCACTGGGGTGAACTGAGAAACCTCCTTCAAGAAGGAGATGATTCCGTTGTTGTTCACCTGGGAGGCAGAAAGCCAGAGCGGGGATTGACTGGGGGCTGTGGGCAAGCGGGTGGGTCCAGCAGCCTCCCTAGCCCCTGCTACCAGGCATCCTCTGAGGGGAAGCCAGTCTTGGGCAGGGCATCCCCAGGGTGGCCTGACAGTCCCCTGTCCCTGAGATGGGTCCAGCATGACCTGTTCCACCCCCTCCTGTCATACTGTGTGCTCAGGGCACAGGCTCTGACCTGCATGCAGTACCTGATGCCCTGCGGAGTGCCCAGCCCTGGTTGGCTGCTGTGGGGGTAGGAAAGCCCCGCTTTGGGTCCTGGCCTCAGTCAGTGGGGCACTTGGGCCTGCCCAGCAGCTACTGCTCCTCAGCTCTGCTCCAGCTGGGGCCTCAGGAGGCCAGGCGGAGCCCCAGTATCTGAGCTAAGCATGAAAGGGTGAGCAGGGGTCACACAAGGTGAGCTTAGGGGAGGGGTGCCCCCACTACAGAGGAGGTGGGATGGCCAGGGGCCAGCATGGCTGGGGAGGCTAGAAGGGCTGCAGTGGCCAAGTGGGGGAGCCTGTGCTTGGCCTCCAGGCAGTGGGGAGCCCCAAAAGGTTTCTGAGCAGCACCTCTGCAGTGAGATGCACATGCTTCAATCCTGGCCCCACACTCATGCCACTGGCTGTGCATCCATCCACGACGCAGCTCAGCTGCCGACCTCCCTGTGCTCTGGTTTTCTTACTTACCAGAAGGGGCTATGGCTGGAATGTTTGTGTCCCCCCAAATTCCTATGTTGAGATCCTAACTCCCAAAGAGATGGTGTTAGCAGGTGGGGACTCTGGGAGGTGATTAGGCAATAAAGGTAGAGCCCTGGTGAATGGGATGAGTGCCCTAGTAAAAGAAGCCCCAGAGAGCTGCCTTCTGCCATGGGAGGATACATAAGAAGACGCCATCTATGGCGCAGGAAGTGGGCCCTCACCAGTCACTGAGGCTGATGACAGTGCCTTGATCTTGGACTTCCCAGCCTCGAGAGCTGTGAAAACTACATTTCTGTTGCTTGCAAACCACTCAGTCTAAGGCATTTTACCACAGCAGCTGGAGCTGACGAGGGCACTGGCTCTGACCTCACAAGGTGCACTGCTGGTCACAGTGGTCAGCTCTACACTGTCATTATTTGCTACTGGCAAGAATGTGACCAGAACCATGCTTTTAGAAAAGACCCTCTGGACTTCCCCTTTGGGTGAAGCCTGGAACAGGCAATAAGGGGGTTCCAGAGTGGCAGCACCTCTGCCTTCTACACCGAGGCAAAGGAAAACCCTCTCTGGAGGAAGATGGCATCATCTTAGGCCTCAAGTTATTCCTGCAAATAATTTTTCAAATACACAATCCAGGACACAGTCAAAGATAATCAGCTACCCAAGGAAGCATGATACCACCAAGAGAAATAGACAGAAACGAGAGAAACAGCAGATACTGGAATTAAAATAACTAGGTTCAAAGAGATCAATGCAAACTTTAGAATTTTATCAGGAGAATAGTCAAAACAATCTCGGAAAGGAAGTACGATATTGGAGGACTTACACGTACAGATTTCAAAACTTACTACAAATCTCCAGTAATCAGTGTGGTACTGGCATAAAGACAGATGTACAGACTGATGGAATAAAACAGAACCCAGAAATAAGCCTTTGATATATAATCAAATGATTTTCACGAGGGTGCCAAGACCATTCCAGTGAGGAAAGGACAGTCTTTTTAACAAATGGTGCTGGGAAAACTGGACATCCACATACAAAAGGATGAAGCTGGACCCTTACCTCACACCGTATACAAAAATTAACTCAATATAGAGCCAAAACCTAAACATAAGAGCTAAGACTGTAAAACTCTTAGAAGAAACAATAGGGCAAAAGCTTCATGACGTTGGATTTGGAAATGATTTCTTGGATATTACACCAAAGGCACAGGCAACAAAAGAAAAGACAAATTGGACTTCATGAAAATTAAAAAGTTTTGTGCATCAAAACATACTATTAACAGAGTAAAAAGGCAATCTGAAAACAGAATAACAGAAAATATTTGCAAATCATATATCTGATAAAGGATTAATATCCTTAGAGAGAACTCCTAAAACTCAACAAAAAAATCTCATTCAAAAATGAGAAAGGACTTGAACAGACATTTCTCCAAAGAAGATACACAAATGACCAACAAGCACATGGAAAGATGTTCAACATCACTGCTATTAAAAAAACAAACCCAGGAAAGTAACAAGTGTTGGTGAAGATGTGGAGAAATTGGAACCCCTGTGCACTGTTGGTGAGAATGGAAAATGGTACAACTGCTGTGAAAAACAATGTGGTGGTTCCTCAAAGTTAAAAACAGAATTACCATATGACCCAGCAATTCCACTTCTGGGTCTATAACCAAAAGAATCAAAAGCAGGGTCTTGAAGAGATTTGTATTTGTATACACATGTTCATAGCATTATTATTCACAATAGCTAACAGCTGGCAGGAACCTGAGTGTCCACTGAGGATGAATGGCTAAATAAAATGTAGCACATCCATATAATGGAATATTACTTAGCCTTAAAAAGTAAGGAAATCCTGGCCAGGCACAATGGCTCATGCCTGTAATCCCAACACTTTTGGAGGCTGAGGCAGGTGGATCACCTGAGGTCAGGTGTTCAAGACCAGCCTAGCCAACATGGCAAAACTCTGTCTCTACTAAAAATACAAAAATTAGCTGGGCATGGTGGCACATACCTGTAATCCCAGCTACTCAGGAGGCTGAAGCACAAGAATCACTTGAACCTGGGAGATGGAGGTTGCAGTAAGCCGAGATCATGCCACTGCACTCCACACTCCAGCCTGGGTGACAGAGTGAGACTCTGTCTTTAAAAAAAAAAAAAAAAAAAAGGTAAGGAAATCTGTCATAGGCTACAACATGGTTGAAACTTAAAGACATTATGCTAAGTAAAATAAGCCAGTCAGAAAGACAAATACCATATGATTCCACCTATATGAGGTACCTAGAGGAGTCAAATTCATAGAGACAGAAAGTAGAAAGATGGTTTCCAGGTGTTGAAGGAAGAGGGGAATGGGGACTTACTATTTAATGAGATTAGAGCTTCAATTTCGAAAGATGAAAACAATTCTGTGGGTGGATGGTGGTAATGATTACACAATAATGTGAATGTACTTTAATCACTGAACCATACATTTAAAAATGGCTATGATACTAAATTTTATGTGTTTTACCACAATGAAAAAATTGAGATAAAAAGACTAGGATAAAAAAAATTAATCAGGAATGTAAATTATTTAATCAAAAGACATTTTAAAGAACCAAATGAATAGGATATAAGTAACTAAATAACAGAAATTAAGAACTGGATAGATTGAAGAGTGGATTTGTTGCATTAAGAAAGAATTATGGGGCCGGGCGCGGTGGCTCAGCCCTGTAATCCCAGCACTTTGGGAGGCCGAGATGGGTGGATCACGAGGTCAGGAGATCGAGACCATCCTGGCTAACACGGTGAAACCCCGTCTCTACTAAAAAATATAAAAAAAAAAACTAGCCGGGCGCGGTGGCGGGCGCCTGTAGTCCCAGCTTCTCGGGAGGCTGAGGCAGGAGAATGGCGTGAACCCGGGAGGCGGAGCTTGCAGTGAGCTGAGATCCAGCCACTGCACTCCAGCCTGGGCGACAGAGCCAGACTCCGTCTCAAAAAAAAAAAAAAAAAAAAAAAAAAAGAAAGAATTATGAACTGAAACTAAAAGGTCAGAAGAAACTATCCAGAATTTTAAAAGACACAAAAAGATGGAGAATACAGAAGAAAGGACGAGACATAATGGAGAACAGTAAGATGACCAAACAAATGCACAACTTGGAGCACCAGAAGGAAAGGAGACACAAAGGCAATGGTGAGTCCAGAACTGATGAAAGACATCAAGCCATATGCAGAACACAGAGTGAATCACAGTGATTCACTAGCTAGAAAAATAAAAACAAAGCCACATCAGACAAATGTTGGAAATGCACAAGGTCAATGACAAGGAGACAGTCTTAATTTTTTTTCTTTTTCTATTGCTGCTGCACAAATTATTCACAAGGAGACAATCTTAAAAAGAAAAAAACAGATTACCATTAGGGGCATTGCAAGTAGACTGACAGCTGACTTCTCATATACAACAATGAAAGCTAGAAAACAGTGGAATCATATTTTCAACGTGCTAAAAGAAAACAACTGCCAACATAAAGTCTTATATCCAGATAAAATACCCTTTACTATGGAAGGCAAAATAAAGACAATTCAGGTAAATACATAATAAATAGCAGACCCACACTAAAAGAGATGCTAACAGATCAACTTCAAGTCAGAGGGAAACATAAGATCTGAGATGCAAGAAGGAAAGAAGGGCAAATGAAATATAAAGAAATAATATATACTGCCTTATGAAATGGTGTAAAAAGTCTATAGAATTAAAACTCACAACAATAATATACATTGAGAGAGGATAAATCATGTCGAAGTGTTCCAAGGTCATTACATTTCCCAGGAGGAGGGTAAAGGTATAAATGAACTTGCTAGTGAATATTAATAAGTTAAAAGTATATATTGTATTGTCTAGGGCAGTGGTCCCCAACCTTTTTGGTAGCAGGGACCAGTTTCATAGAAGACAATTTTTCCATGGACTGAGGTGGGGGTGTGGGAATGGTTTGCGGATGAAACTGTTCCACCTTACCTCATCAGGTATTAGTTAGTTTCATAAGGAGTGTACAGCCTAGATCCCTCACATGCGCAGTTCACAATAGGGTTTGTGCTCCTATTAGAATCAAATACCACCACTGATCTGACAGGAGGCAGACTCAGGCGGTAATGCTCACTCTCCTGCTGCTTGCTGCCTGCTGTGAGGCCACAGACCAGTACTGGTCTGCAGCCCCAGGGGTTGGGGACCCAAGGTCTAGGGTCATCACCAAAAGAACAGAAACTGTGTCCATATTCTATACTGATAGAAGGGATAATACG